ATCAGACAGTTAGCAAGCAGCAAAACTGTGATTTAAACTTGGATAAACCTATGAAATGCCTCCATTCTTTGAAGAACTACTCCAAATGGCTTCCAATAATAACAAAAAATTGCACTGAAAGCATCTAGGTAATTCTCCAAGCGGTGTTCCTACCTGTACCATCTAAACATTGTTTCCTGAATGGGATAAAATTCAGTCATTTCACCCAGCTTATTTTTTGCCTTAGGGAGATTTGGATGAAGACAGAAATGTATAAATTGCAAAGAAGATATCACAAAATATACACCTAAGAACTATTTATTTTTTGATTATGACAATGAATACTACATATTAGAAAACATAAGATAATTTGAAAGGAATAGTTTGCTGGCTTAGGAGACAATTTTATTTCTACTAGAATATCTTTGGTCAGAAGCAAAAGTTGGCCACGTGATGGATTATAGGTGAAAAAAGAGTAGGAATGGAGTACATGTACGTCTGAGATAGTTAGAGCCAGCCCCATAGTTAACTGAATCAAGTGTGTGAGTCTGTACCTACATATCCCTTATTAATCTACTTTTGCTCATAAATGAAACTGGTTAATTTGATAATAATTTAAATGCAGGAAAGCAACAAACTAATCAAAATCAACTAAACTGGAAATCCTATAGAAATAGACAAATCTTAATGGTTTAAGTATGTGAGTTACTGTTTTATGATAAACACAATACAGCATTACAAAAATGAAAATGTCATCTAAGCTTTGATAATTAGAAAGACAGAAAGCAGGTGCTGGAGTTCCACTTTATTTAGCCAAACTAATCAAATTAGACCTCACTTAAGAAGGAATTTACTCAATAAACTTACCTGGTATAACCTAATTTTCCACATCTGGACCAATCAGACCACCCTATCCCTTTCCACTTATGAAAAAATGAACTAATTCAGTTTAAATGACTGTTTAATTGAGTTCCCTCCAAAGCATACACATGCACCCATTAAAAAAGCAGGATGGATAATTATGAAGGGACTTACATATTTGGTTTCTCGACCAGCTGCTCTTGGAAGAGTTGTAGGCATCTATATGAAAATAAAAATAATGATACTACTGAAGAAAGCAAGAAAACACTAAAAGATTCAATTTCTGGGATGTGTTCACCTTTTTTCCTAGTAAGACTTTGTAACCATTATACCCTTTTTTCTATATAAAACTCCCTGTTCTTTTGAAAACTATTTCATTAAACTCTATCACTTTAATATTCTTTTCCTTGCTGTTATCTATCGGCTTTTAGGGTAATATTTGCCTTATTAATTGATGATGTTGATTCATGGATCACAATAGATCCTCACAGAATTTTTGGCTATTTCAAAATTCTCACAGAAATCTCTATCCTCTCAATAATCTGAGCTGCTCAACTCCAAAGATATTCTTAACCATTCCATTTCAATCATCCCCTCCAACATTCCTACACTTTGCCTTCACAAATAAAATGGGAAATTTCTGGAATTTCAATTCTTAACATCTTAGTATCAGAAGTCTACCTCCTATCAACCATCTTTTTCTCTCAAACATCCTCAGTGCAATATTTCTTTGGCATCGTTGAGACTGCAAAATCAATGAGCCTTACCAACTCCATTCTTATTTTATTACCTCTTCACTTACATGTATTTCATATTCTGTCATTTTAATACCTTAATTTCACTTACCTCTCTTTCTCCTTGTAACAAACTCCTCTAAACACACAAACAAACAAAACAAAAAAATAACAAACAAACAAACAAACGAACCTGGATGGACCTAATCATCCATTTTCTTTAGCTGAGGAGCAAAGCATTGCTCAGGAAACTCTCTCTCAACCACATTTATTTCATTATAGACAAATGATTATCAACTTCAAATGGGCATTCAATACTGCCCAGTAAGCCCCAGTTTTCTCTTGTAGGTGCACTTTCCCACTTTCTCAGATGAGATGGCTATCTGATTCATTCATCTACTGTGTGCAAGAAACTGTTGTACATTCTTCAGACTTAGCAGCAAACAGACAAAGATACCCTGCCGAGCTTACAGCAGGAGACAAGATAAAGAATAAAATAATACATAAGTAAATTACACCAAATGTTAAAAGATGATAAATGCAGTGAAAAAGAAGAGAAGAAATAATTTGAAGCCAGAGTAATACAATCTTTCAAAGAAAACTTTGCTTCTACCAAATATGTTATGCTTTTTTTTGGACAACCTAGATGTTAAAGAAAGAGGTCAGGAACGCTGAGATCTTCCAATTTTAAAAGGGATGGTCAGTCTAGAGAAGGTGAGCTTTGAGCAAAGATTTGAAGGAAGTGAGGGAGTTGGCTATGTGGGTATCTAGATAAAAAGCATTTCAACAAGATAGAACAAGCTTGAAGTTCTTAAAGTAGATTTCCACGTCTGCGAATGGTGTCTAGAGGACTCAGAGCAATCCTTCCGTAATAGAAAATAAAAAAGATGAGTGAAATATTGAAAACAAAGTTAAAATATTGTTTTCTTAAAAACACTGATGCGCAAATAAGCGATTGAAGAATTTGTGGACAAGATCAGGAATAGATGTGAATGTGAAGAGAGGAGTCAAGCATTTGAAACCTGCTTGTGCCCTGAGGATGTTTGCAAATGAGTCACTTGAGAAGCTGATCCTAACTTTTGACAGTCTCAGAGGTGTAGAGGGAGAGAAGTAAGAATCCAGGACCTGCCCAGACAAGATTGATCTAGGAGTCGTATGGTATCTGCTTGGCCTCAAGTCACTGAAAATGACTGTTTAGAAAAAACCATCTCAAAAGTTTAAATTAAGTGATCCTTTGCTAGTACTGATGGTGGCTGACAGAAGCAAAGAAATAACTCTCTTTAGGAAGATAGTATTATCTGAAACCTCAAATAAATTCTAGAAATACATTTTCAAAAATAAATTTTAAGCACACAGTAAGATTCAGATATACAAGAAGGGAAGACCAGGTGGGTAAGAACAAGCAGAAATAATGAACCACCAAAAAGACTCCCCCAAAATGCAGAAATTTGTTTTCTTAGAACCAGACTGAAAAACAACCATACTTAACCATATTTTTGAGACAAAAGTTAAGCTTTCAAATTTTCACAGGGAACAAGAAACTATAAAAAATGATACAAGTGATTTGAAGAAAACTCAATGTGTTAAGGCAGGAATATGCCTGGCATATTTGAGGCACAGAACCTCAGCGAGCAGGGCCAGAACAGACCAAAGAGGAGAAACGAGAGCAGTTTATGGAACTGTTGTGAGTCCAGATCTGAGAGGCCACATAAGGGTCCTGTAGGGACTTTGGCTTATACATGAGGGATGCATAGGCACTGCTGGTTTTAAGTGGAAGAGAGTCATAATCTGACTTATGCTTTGAAAGGATCTCTCTGCTTGATATGTTGAGAATGGATTATAGTGAGGCTAGGATATAGGAAACAGGCTATTGTACTTTCCAGCAAAACAGGATGGCTCAGTAGTATGGATGGTATGGAATAATCACACTCTACATGTATTTTGAATCTACAGCAGCAGGATTTTTAGTGGAAAAGATGTAGAATGAGAGAGAAAGAGAAGAATAAAACTTGACACCAAAGTTTCTGGCCTGGAGCAAATAAAAGATTGAAATTCTATCCAAGGAGATGGGAAGGCAGGATATGGAAATGATTTTTGTGGGAGGAAATCTAGATTTCATGTTTTAGAAATCTAAATGTAAATGAAGAGTAAGTAATTGGGAGATTGGAGTTTGAGAGAGAATCCTAGACTGGAGATGTAAATTTAAGAGATGTCCCTATATTCTTGGTTTTCAAAACATGAAATGTAGTGAGAACACCAAAGAATGAATTTAAAGAGGAATGAGAAGCTCAAGGACAGAGCCCTAGAAACTCCAGGATTAATAGTTTGGGAAGAAGAGGATTCATCAGGAAAGGGGACAAAGAAATAATAATGACAAATGAGGTAGAAGAAAAACAGAGAACATGGTGTCCAGGAAAGCATCAGAGGAACATACAGGAAACAGGAAGGAGTGATAAAATGTCCCCAATTCTGTTAATATGTCAATTCAGATCAGAGCTGTGCTTATAGCAAAGGGGAAGAGTTCAGGAACCTTGTGGAAAGCAGTTTGGACAGCACAGTGGCTAAAGCCTGAATGTAAGGGATTTAAAAAACATGGGAGAAGAATTTAAAGCAAAATACATATTTCTTCAACTTTTCAAACTCTTCCCCATCACACTGCCCCTCCTCAGGCTCAGTTAATAATCTTAAAACTTTCTTCACTGAAAGATTTAGTTATGAAATAACTAGAGTTATTAATTATAAAATTCTTCATTTTCCCAACATTGACCTAGAAACATATTTATATCTGTATCTGTGTGGGTAAAACTGCAATATTTTCCAAAACTCTCACCTGGCCTTGGTGCATCTCCATATCAATAGGTAATTACAAGGGGAAGAGATGGCTTATCCGGACCAGAGAGGTTGCATAGGGTCCCTTTTTGCAGCTAGATTGCAAGAGACACAGGTAAGCATAAGTGGACGACTGCTTGTAGGCAATAAACAGGTTTCTCCCACTTTATTTCTTCTTTGACTGATTTCAGTTTCAAAGGTATTTTGCACCAGGCTGTGAGAATATTTTCCCCCTGGAGATACATCTGGCAGTAGTCAGCAGGACCTCTGAACCTGAAAACTGTCTTCATGGGTGCGACCATTGGGTAGGCTGTCCATAGAAATGGTGGGGAAATAACCTTTAACCCCCACTGTAGATGGTGGCGAGGCCCAGTAGCTGCAGCAGTGCAGGATGCAGTTTACCTTGAAGCCCCCTATCTGTGCAGCTTCCAGATGGAGAGTCCCTAGTGGGGAATTCTAGGGTAAAGCACCTCCTAGAGGGGTGGGGTCTTCCCCAGAATTGGGGAAGGGTGGAGACACCAGAACCTGTGGAATTAGCCCTCCATGATAAAAGACTGCTTAGAGGCCCTGAGTGTCCGTGCAGCAGCTGGGATTGTGCGATATCTGTTTCTCAAGATAGTGGAAAAGGTTATAGAGGAGAGAGAGAGAGAGAGACTTTGGCAGTAGAGAGACACACTTCAGCATTGCTTGGAGAAGCTGGGCAATGACCTGTGAGACGCCCTTACAAAAGAAACAGTTATTGAGAAGACGGGTCCTGCTCCTGGAACATAAGTTGGCAGCAGCAAGAGGGGGAGGCAGCAGGAGAGTCCACATTGCAGGAGGCCATGAAGGAGGGAGAAGAAAGAGTGGTGCCTTCAGTCCAAGAGAGGGTAGAGGAGATACCGGGAGAGGATGAGGGGGTAGGGCCAAGGGCCGATCTGTTGCCAAGGCCACCACCCAAGGCACCAGCCTCTCCCATATTAAAGGCCCACCTGGTTCTAATTAAGAAAATAAAAACGCAACAACAGTGGGTCCCTCAGGAGGAGGAGCAGCCCCCTCCCCAGGTTGAGGAGCACTCCATGCTCTGCCCCTATACCCAGGAAGAGCTGGTGGACATGAGCAAACTGCTTCGGCAGAAGCCGTCGGAACCTCTGCTTATGTGGCTTTTGCATGTCTGGAATATGGGGGTGGAAAACACTGTTATGTCACGTTCTGAAATGGATAGACTGGCTTCCATGATGACTCACCCTGCCCTCCGGCAGCAGTTACAAAGTGCCTGTCACACCTCGGGGAATCAGGCCCTTCTGGATTGGCTGACCGCGGCCATCAGGGCAGTTTGGCCTAATCAGGGTGATTTACCATACTTACCCACTAGCTGGAAAACATATACAGAGCTCCAGCAGCTGTTACGGGACCTGAGCATGAACAATGTCATCTATAATATGGACCCACAGGGCTCCGATGAGGAGTTGCTCACTGTAGGAATGAGAAACTTGGTGCTTTATACAGCTCTCCCATCTCTCTTTGGCACCCTGGTGACTATTCTTGCCCAACACATAGGGCAACCCATAAGTGAGGCTACTCATACTTTGGCAGACCTGGGGAAAGTTGAAACAATAAGTAAAGGCTGTAACTGAAAGGAGAGGTGCAAAGGGCCCCCATGAAGGTCTCGAGGAC